CAATGCTGTAATTTTCCGTTACTACGTCACAGTCGCATGGTCAAAGTATGTGGGGATCGGTCATATCGTAAGGTCATATTGGCAATAAGAAACTTCTACTTGGTAGCTAGTAACTACTATTACAATTAAACAAAATGTTTATTTTAGTATTACAAACTTTTTATTATAAATGCGAATGTGGAGATGGGTCGCTGGAATTTGGCATACGTGTAGAACATTGTCTGGAAGACAGGCTACTCAAGAAGTTTTTTTTTTTAATTTCGCGCTTTTGGAATTGTAGTCGACAGCTAATTTTTAGGGTTCCGTACCCCATAAGAAAAAAACGGAACCCTTATTGGATCACTTTGTTGTCCGTCTGTCAAGACTTTTTTTTATGAAATCGTCTACAAAACATTTTTATTTGCTGGCGTTATAGTTCGGTGTTTTTATCATCAGTTTTTACATGCACAACATCTGTATAAAAACATATTTTTATCTCAATTTACAAAACAAAACGAAAGGGATTAAAGTTTTAATTAGTATTATAAAATGTTTACTAATAACTTAAGTATTTTTTTTTCAACTAACAAAGCGGTAATGTTTTCGCGCATACATAAATTGCATTTGTATGTGATGGCCCAGAGCTGAAACGATTGAACCGATATTGACGAGTGAGGTATCATTCGATTCGTCTTCTTCCTTAGAGTGTCAGGATATATCTTCACAAAACACATATAGTGGACATAATAGGTATTCTAAAATGTTGCCTAACTTATGCAATTTTGTTACTAACATTGAAATTAACTCTGTATCTCGTACTATAAAAAGTGTTATTCTGTTTTATAACAAAATTACCGCAAACAATGTTGTATTTTAATTATTACATTTGCATCTTATTTTAATACGAACTTTGTACTTGCATTTACTTAGTATTTATATGTATATAGTATACTTAGTATATAACTGCAAAAGTTCGATACGATACTTTCATAAGATACACTTTTAACCTTTTTAGTAACTGACACGATATGTGAATCTGTCTTGACATTTTATACAGGTACCTACATTTTATATTTAAATTCATTATCCACAATAAACAAACATTACTAGATTTTTACAAAATATGTTTATCTAAATTAACATAAAAAAATACATAAATAAAAATATATATTTCGAGAATTAGTTCTTCCAAAAAATGTTACCAATAAACATATCAAAACATGTAAATCAAATTGATTTACTAAAGCAGAAGGGATCGAGATAAAAATAATTTCAAGCTTAGTAAGTCCGACGTCAAAGTATTTTTATCATCCAGAACAAATTTATGTCAATATCATTGCTATTTTCAATATAAAAGATTCTTGATATTCTATACATATCATAAACGAAAGTAATATTTAAAATGCGTTATTTCTACACTTAAATCTATCAAAAACAACCGGTTGAAGTAACTGGTTTAGTATCAAACGATAAGATTGTCTATCCTTACCCTTGTGCGTCGAACTTCATTCGGCATAATCAAAATTATGTCTTATGATAAATCGAACTCGCGTCACACTGCACTATCTGATAACACCGGGTCACACGTTTAATGTCACAACACACACGTCCATTCCCTTCGGACACGTATCTACTAATGACGAAAATGAACAAAACAATACGTGGGTAGTGGGGTACACGAAAGTATTCCCGGCGTAATACAAAAACTATTGGAGTATCACGGCCGAACGACCTGATGATTCCGTGTCCGTCTTCCGCGCCGATATCGCGACGAGCGGCGATTCCGATATGCTCCAATGAACGCCACTTTAGCGCCGTATTTCCTTACGTTTGCGAATGTAAAGTGAACGGAACCGTACTTGCTAAATTATTTCCGCACCAGTTTATATGACTTCTAATTCCCGTGTACATTACACATGTATCAACGGATAGAATTATCTCCGTTTTTTTTTCAAAGAAAATAAGAGGGATGGAAATATGTTGAATATCATAATATTATAAATACGAATGTTAAGATAGATGGATGTTTGTTCGAAGATATCTGCAGAACGGCTGAATGGATCTCGCTGAAATTTTGTTAAAATGTAGAACATAGTCTAGAAGAACACGTAGGCTACTTTTTACTTTTTTTTCTATTTCTCGCGGACGTAGTCGCGAGCGGCAGTTAGAGTATAACATGCGTACGAGTGTTTTGGCAGTTGAAACCCACGTTTACTAAAATTAAGAATAACAACGATCCATTTTTAACGTGCAACTTTAGTGACAAAATTTAACAAAGGAAAGGAAACTAAATTTCATAGAGATCCATCCAACCGTTTTGGAGACATCATCACACAAACCTCCTACACTATAAATTTAATAGAGAAGAAATTAATATACCTCCTATCAACAGTAATATGTTTACTGAACAAAACAAACGTTTTAATTATAAATTAATATGTAAGTCGATAACAAAAGGGAATTTAAATCTATATTTGTCCGTCGCAATTACATCCTGTTTACAATTCAGTGGCTGATTTTCATTCGTAAGGTCGCCAGAGATAGCAACCAAGGTTACGTTGAAATAAAAAAGTTACAACGCATAAAGGATATTTAAAAACAAAGTCTTGAATAAGAAAATCTTAATTGTCATTGATCGCATTGTTCGTTAATATAATACTTGAATTTAATCTAAATAAACGAGACTGACCTATTTACCAACGGATTATTATATATTAAAATTTGACCTAGGAACTTAAAATACCAATTCTCTATTATGCATGTAACGGAACATTTTCAAATAAAAAAAACATCACAGAATAATCTTACTTCTTACTAATATTATAAATGCAAATGTTTGGATGTAAGGATGGATGGATGTTTCTTAGAAGTTATCTTTAGAACGGCTCCACGGATCTCATTGAAATTTGGCACACATATAGAACATAGTCAGGAAGAACACATAGGCTACTAATTAAGTTTTTTTATAATTCTGATTGAACAGAGTCGCGGGTGACAGCTATCTAAATAAAGAGCAAGATGACAAGCAACAGATAAGTTTCTTTTGTCTTACTATTCTTGCATTGTTAAGTAAAAAAACAATTAGTCAATGCGACCCTCGAATACATCGTGACCTTTATAAGTCATTGAACTTTACGTCTAGTACACACGCACAGTAACATCAAAAATTGGTAATTATTAAAATAAAAACTTAATAGCCAAAAAAATAATTTTTCACAATTTCAGTTGAATACTGTGCTTACACAGTTATTAGTTCAGGAGACAGAAGAGAGAAGAAGATATATTACCGGACTGAAAAAAGTTTTTTTTTTAAAGACAACTCTTTAAAAAAAACTCTTATCAGTCCGGTTATACCAACGTATATAACATTTAGAAATATGCTATCTATATTAAAATATACTACTTATTAAAGATAATTAAAAAAAAAACTTAATAGCCTAATGTATTTCCATTCTCAGTTCTACTTATGCCAAATTTCATTGAAATCAAACCGTTCTGGAGATAACTTTTAAAAATCATCGATCCATCTATCCAAAACATTCACATTTATAATATCAGGTACGACTTATTTTTAAAGCAATTAAAAGCAATAGCTAAATAATGACAGTCTAAAAAATCTTTGTAATTTCGTTGAAGATTAAGAATCCAGTGACACCTACCTTTCAAAATCGATCAAGGAAATTCATAATGGAGGACATACAAAATTGGATATGTGAATATTAAATAATTACGATGCTTGTGGGGTATCCCTGTGAAAGAGATATTCATCGGTTGTGACCTTAAGATCAATGTACAGGTACAAAAAGTTGAGTAAAAAATACTTGGTTTGGATACCTAAATGAACGAAGTTCAATATTTATATTACAACTTTCCTTAGGAACAAGAAATACAAGGAAAATCTACGAAAGGATAAAAGATATTTATGATTAAAATGAATTTTCCGAACGCATATTTAATTAATAACACACTAGCTGTCCCACGCGACTACGTCTGGGCGGATTTAATAAATCAACTTATTTAGTAGCCTATATGTTCTTCTAGTTCTTCTACATTTGCAAAATTTCAGCGAGATCGTTTCTAATAAACATCCATCCATCCAAACATTCGCATTTATAATATTAGTAAGAAGATTAGAGTAATTTTAAGACGCGAAGAACTTGTCTTTGCCCATAATAATTATAATTGTGGAAAATACGGCAATACTAATCATGTCATGTTTTTTGGGAAAAACCTAATGTCTAATTTTATAATAGGTCTTGTTCAAAGATAAAAGGTTTAGTTTTAACTTTGTATTAAACTGGCTATTCGCGCGGAATTAAAAAAAACTTATTAAGTAGCCTATGCGTTCTTCCAGACTATGTTTCCCAACTTGATTGGGTGCAACGTTCCCCCTATGTTTAACTGTCATGCTCGAAACCCCAAAATCCCCGCTTCGTCTCCTTTCCTATTTTAAATGCCCTTGTTTAGTTGACGCGGCCGCGACCTTATTGAATAAAACTAAATTAAATAAAGTAATAAAGGTCTTAATAACTATTTACGCCCGTATCGCTTATAATGACGTCATGGAAAAATAAAGACAATCAACAAGGTAACAGCTCATAATAGCAGATAAAAAAATGTATAGTTATCTGAACAAAAGTGACGTTCAGGTTTCCTTATTTCAAAGGTGACAAGACCAAATATGGCTAAGAGGCAGGCTTGGTTATTGACTTTAAAACATCGATTTTTCACAGAAGTTGTTATTTTTTTATTTAGCAAGCGATGCATATTTTTATTTTGTTGCTCTTAGTGTAATTACTACGACCACTGTTTATGTCGTCATATTTAAATCTAGATCTTTTTTTGTAATTTTGATAATAATGGTTATATTTTATGATGGATCGGATATAACACAATATTTGTAAAGTTTACTATTACCCATAGTAAATAAGGTCAATATTACATCGTCAAAAATAGTTTTCCTTCACTCTCAATAAATAGTATAATATTAAATCTGATTTGAAATAAAAGAAAACTCTTACCTTATCGCCATCTGTCGGCAGAGTCCCATATCCATACCAGCTTCTAGCAGGCTTCAGTCTGGGCTCCTCTTTAGGCGACAACAATCCACTGCCCCACTTGACCACGCCCTCAGCGACCGCAGCAACCCCAGGAGTCTTTGGACTACCATTCGGTGAATTCTGAGACGGCACGCTCTTCTCCGCCACTGGTGGTAAAGTTGGTCGAGCACATCCCGACCTCCTTTCGTATATTCTTTTACACGTGTCATCAGAATCTGTCTCCAATAGACCTTTCTTATCACTACCTCGCTTAACTTCTACTGTCCTTTTTAAGTCTTCTTGCCGCTGCGTCCATTTTGGATCGGATTCTTTTCGTTTTGCACTATCATTCGACTCCTGTCTACATAGCAACGCTTTTTTAAGACTCTCGCTGGAGTCTTGTTTTGTAACAGCCTTTTTGTCGGCCTCCTTTGCTGCTTTCTTCTCATCTTTCGTGAGCAGTGCACGTTTTAAGCTATCGGTGGAGTCTTGCTTGTGGATGATTTTTCGGGGGCATTCTGTGTTAAGGGAGTCAGTTGTTTTGGATATGAGTAGCTTTGGGTAATCATATGGGGCATGTTCGTTTGGCGGGTTTAGCTCTAGCGAGCGCCTATTCTTGCGCTTGTCGGCGGGGGCGATTTGTGCCTTGACGGGGAGAAGACGGCGCGGCAGCAGGCTGCGGTGGTCAGCGAGCGGTGATTCCGGTCGCAGCATGTTGAGCGGCGATCAAGAACTGCCGCTGAATCAGACACTCCTGAAACAATGAGATTTAGGTTAGACTTATTGCGTAGTAAATATGAAGACAAACAGTTCAAAGACAATAAACTTGTCTATGCTGTAAAATGATATAGAAAATAGGTCTACATTTTTGAGTACATCGTTTGATAAGGGTTTAAATTGACGAATTTTGTAACAGTATGATGAAATTGCAAAAAACATAATTAATTTTACCTAAATAAAGCAACGCTTTCTTTTAATCTATAAAGCAAAATTATCGAAAATAATAAAAATATTTTATCAAATAGATATGCCATAATATACAATTGTTGATTTTGGCATTGAAAGATAACAACTATTGACAATCAGATGATATTTTGCTTTCGCATGTGATGTGCCGATTATTACATTTCATAGAACAATGATTAATTTTCTTTTTCTAGAAGATAATAACTGATTACATTACGATATATACACAAGTACTCGGTTTCTCAGGAGTCAAGCACTTGACTTCCAATCTGCAGGTTCTGGATTCGAATCCCGCCATGTACCAATGTGTTTTTCCATTTCCGATTTACATATACACATTTATCCGACGTTCTTATGGTGAAGGAAAACATCGTGATGCAACCTGCACATATCTGAGAAGAAATTCAAAGATATGTGTGAAGTCAATCAACCCGCACTTGGCCAGCGTGGTTGACTATGGCCTAATCACCCTTAACTTAGGGTAGGCTCCGAGCCCCTCGGTGGGGACGTATAGTTAGCTGATGATGATGATGATATACACATACTAGCTGTCGACAGCGACTCCGTCTGCGCGGAATTAAAAAAACTGAATAAATAGCCTAAGTGTTCTTCAAGACTATGTTCTACATCTATGCCAAATATATCCACCATCCATACATTCGCATTTATAATATCAGGAAGATATAAATATTTTACTACGAGTAGACTATGGCCGAGTCACCCGTGACTTTGAGTAGGCTCCGAGCCCTTCAGTATTGCTGATGAAGATGATAAATATTTTACAGAATACTTTTACTCGTGGTCGCTGTTAAACCGAGGTTAATTAAAATCTAAAAATCGATACATCTTCATTCATATTGAAAACGATGAGTCATTGTGTAATGAATGACTAAATGCTTATGTACGCCCAATTGAACGCCAGGTCTTACAATTACGGCATTGTGTTTACGCATTGCCGAAGAAATGCAAAGCCGAAAATAATCGAGCAAGCAACACCGCCCACTCTTACTTTGCTCTTTCATACACAATTTAATACCTTAGGGCTGTCAATTTTACTATATCATTTTTTTTTTAAATTGCCTGATATTTTTTACGATAGGCCATTTATAAGCCATTAAAAAATTTATAAAAATAATGAGCTTTATAATTGTAAAATAAATATATCTACAGATGTAGATACAAACATATAGTGATCCCTTTCACTCCTTTTGATAAAACAGAGATAGAAAAATCTTTCGGTACAGGTATTACAGCAATGAAAACTCACGGTTGGTTAATTGTATAACACAATTTAAATACCAACATAGAAAATTAAAACTATATGAAAATATAAAAAGTATGATGTTATACAAAAATTATTTTTTGTTTTTTTAAATCGTAGTTTCTAGTTCAGCCCTATATTATTCTTTACCTGTTCGGTATGAATGGAGAGACATTACGCCTTCTGCGGGATCTAATGACGTCAAAGTTATTCCTATTTGACATTTAGATATAAATTGGTTGGATTTAGACGAAAATCTTTATCCTTCGCGTATCCTTGTACTTGACAAGTAAATGACAAATGTCAATTTACGCTATTTACGAACGCTTGGTGAATGACCTGCATTGAAACAAAATTTCGTTTTTTATATTTGTTACTTTTGCACCAATTTTTTTTCTAAATAACAGGAAAGTGTTATCATTCGCTAGTAAAGATCTTTCTAAGAACATACTACCTGTCGCCCGTGATTCCGTCTTTGCGAAATTAAAAAAAAAACTTAATAAGAAGCCTTTGTGTTCCTCCGGGCTATGTTCTACATCTCTGCCGAATTTTGTTTAGATCCGTTGAGCCATCTAACAAAAATCCATCCATCTAAACTTTCGAATTTATGATATTAGTAACACAAAGATGTTAATTTCATTGTTACCTTCTGTTTATTGAGACGATTGAATTTAGCTCAGGGTTCCAAATACAAACTACAATACAAATTACAACTTATAGAGGTTACCACCCTTTTTTTTTCAGAGAGGAATGCTTTATGCATACTCCGCGCCCCTGGGGGCACGCGGTAGTTATGTGGGATTCTCCTCCATAGCGGAGGCATACCCACTAAACCTCTCTATTCCTCCAACGCATCGGGACGGGACCACGGGCACGCTTTCGCTCTCGTCCGCGGCCCCGTCTGCGCCAGCTGCCGAGGCAGCTCCCTCTCGAGGGAGGCAGCCCTCAGTCGCCGGTGATGGACTAGAGGTTAACACCCTATTGCTAAGACACTTAACATCTAACTTATTATTAATTTTTTGCTTATATTTCTGAAATAAGAAACAACTATGTTTAAATTACAAATGCAAATTTGTTCACACAATCCGAAATGGCAGAATGCATGAGTCAATGACTCATTAGGTGCAAATAATACCAAATATGTTGTAACTATTTTAACAAGTCTGACAAATTATTATATTACATCTGATTTGATAATGACTTCAAATTATATCATACTAGCGTTCGCCCGCGACTTCGTCAACGCAGAATTGTAAAAGGGTCTTGACAGACAAACGGACGGACAACAAAGTGATCCTATAAGGGTTCCGTTTTTTTCTTTTCGAGGTACATAACCCTAAAAAGTAGCCTATAATAAAGTTCCATCAAAATAGGTTCAGTCAATCCAGAGTACCGTTTACCCGAAGTAAACACTGCCTTGCGTCCAGAAATATGAAAGAAATGTTTTTAGCAACGGAAATATAATTTTTTTCGATATTACATACAGACATTCCAATTTAATCAATATATTTTTAATGTTATTAATATTATTCTTCAACTATTTTTAAAGTCAAAACCATTTTGTAAAATCACAAGTGTAAAAACAGCGAGACAGCCAGACCAAAAAACAACTATGCTATTACTTCCCTATTTGTATTATAACATTTTTAATCTTACTAATATTATAAATGCAAATGTTTAGATGAATGAATGTTTGTTAGAAGGTATCTCCAGAACGGTTGCATGGATTTATCTGAAATTTGACATCGTTGTAGAAGTAGTAGTCTGGAAGAACGCAGGCTAGCGGGCGACAGCTAGTCATAATACATATTATCAGCGATACCCTATCAGTACTTTACAAGAACACTAGACCACATCAACTATCGCATATTAAACAATCTAATTCTACACTCAATCACATATACATATGTATAAATGTCATGTATCGAGATATATAATTAAAATTCTTTACTTGCCACGATTAGAGAACAATCTCTGAGTCATCCGAGATAATGTTCTATGTATACGGTTCTATCCATTGTCATACAGATGTTAACACGTTGAGCGCCACGCGTTCTAAGACAATCCCGTTCAGGCCACGAGCGTCGCTTATAAGCACTGGTATTAAAGGGCCGGTGTTTCTGATCGCAGTACAAAATAGTTTACATTTTTAACGTTATACCTACAGGCTTTGTTTCAACACGTTACGCGCCAAGTCTGTCTGGCGCGATCTAAACGGAAAGTCTAGTGTCAGTCACCGATGGCTGACGAGGCGCTCAACGTGTTAAAATTGACAATTATTTAGCATATATTTTAATTTCCGTATGTTATTTTTTACTTTGTACAATTCGGTATATACAGAATGTTTGAATATTTTATGTTTGAAATCCAGATTAAATATTCAATTTATATAAGACCAGCAGTTGCCCATGATTTTATCCTAGCGGAATTTAAATAACCTTGAACATTTGTATTCTTCCAGACTATGTTCTACATCTATGCCATACACCCATTTAAACTTTCGCATTTATAATATTAACTAGATGTTGCCCGCGACTCCCTCCGCGTGGAATTAAAAAAAAAAAGTTAATTAGTAGCTACTTTCATTCTATTTTCTTAATTATAGCGAAACACATACAGTAGTTCTGGAGATACCTCCTAATATTACTAAGATAGTCAAGATTGTTAACATTTACCTAAAACCTGTGACAACCATTAGTTAACATAGGTGCAAGATATATATTTGTGTGTGTTTGTACAATGACAGCTTATGCAACACAACACAATGGTTTAATGACCCTTGACGTCAGTGTTGTAATGTCACATGGCAACTAACAACTTTCACATGAAGTACAATGCAATGTACTTTGCCTAATTGTAATACGCAATATTGTAATTATACAGTCAGCTAAAGATTAACCCTTTAAATGCCACTACGATTATTAATTTTATGTTACGATAGTTGAGATGGATGTGTGGTGTGACAAGAAAGGATAAAGTTAAAAATGTATATTAGAGGAAATTAGAAAGTAGCGCCAGTGATTGAGAAATTGAGGAGTAAAAGATTAGCGTGGTTTAGACATGTTATGCGGAGGGATGATGATGATAGAAGCAAAACAGTAATGAGATTGAATGTGGATGGCTACAAGGGTAGAGGAAGACCAAAAAAAGTATGGAATGACTGTTTGAAAGAGGATATGCGTAAGAAGGGAGTAGACTCGAATATGACGGCTGATAGAGATATATGCAGGAGTAGTACTGTGCCGACCTTCGATAGGGATAAGGGCAGGTTGATGATGACTTTTTAGTCAGATAACTCAAAATAACTTTTATCATTTAATACATAACTAACATTAATTTAGTACGTCTTAGTAATTTCTTATATTATTAAGGAATAATATGTAACACGCCTGAAAAAGTTATAAACGTACAAAATAAATTACTTACCCAATTGTGATTGACAGTGAACGTGTTGATCGGAATTATAATAATTCGGGATTCAAACAGTGAATTGGTGCAATCCTAGATTATTTTCATCAATTTGGAAC